CACCCTGTACAATTATTATATTGGCTATACACTTTCTAGTTGAGCAAGAAACTGAAAATTGAATGGTTTCCCTTCGTTGAATATATTGGAGAAAAGGACATTGCCAAGGTCAATAGGAGAAACTTTGAGGTAGGTTTTGGTAACCTTGTGTTTAGTTTGAAGCAGGGGTGTGCAAAAGACGGCCCGCGGCCCGCTCACATGGATAAAATATTTAATGATTTTTGCTCTTGTCGCGGCGCTAAATCCTTCGCGATTTTGCTTGGTGCATAAAAAATGTCGTACACTCCTGGTTTCGAGCGTTGAACCCAAAAATGTTATTATTGCTTTTATGACCGTTTTTGATTGTTTATTAGTCAGGGGATGTTGAGCCAGTAAGTTTATGAGCATTCTGAAAGTAGTATCTCCTCGTATACCGGTATCTGCTCATAAAGATCGTGTCGTAGTGAAGAAGTGATTTTCATTTATTTTGAAGTAAAGACACTCAACGCCCCGATAGGGGATTCGGATGTTCATGCATCCGAAACGTATAGATAGAGTGACGGAAAAATTTACATGAGGAAGAGGCCCTGTGAAACGGGTGAACTCTTCTCATACCCAACATGGACTGGTAACCGGACGAGAGGCAATGGCTCGTCAAATGTATAATCAGACTGTCTTATAGGCTATTCAGCCTCTAGCGATTAATATAAAACTACTATTATGTAATCCTTTTATTTTAGTTTTTCGATGACATCAGATGGATTTTTAATCGAACGACGAATAGGAGAGAAAGAACTGTCGTATCTCTCGTTCGCACCGGTCGCGCGGCGTACCAGATTCTGAAATCAGGGAAGAAAAGAAACAAAATAACTACAGCTTCTGTAAGTATAAATCAGTAAGTCAACAAACAAAAGCAAAACAATAAATTCTCAAACAAATAAATAACAATGTACTTTGAATTAACGCGGTCATCACAATAGCACGAATCGTTAAGAATTTTGCCCGTGGCTTTCAGAGAGTCCAGTCCCACCACCCTAAGCCCGATATGAAATATACAACCACGAGTTCAAAAAGGGTTAACGATGAGGCCTTAGGATAGGTTTAAAATTTTGATTCTTTCGAGGGAAAGGAAAGTCGATGAGACTGTCATACTATCTGTTCTGTGTCGTAATGAGTAGGGCAGCTGGTGAAATATTGCAGAAAAAATTTGAGACTAGTTTCAAAAGGCCGATGAGAGGACTTAATCATATAGCGAACAACAGCCGCTCGTCCGGTTACTAGTTCATGGTAATATTTGACCAATTATTCGTTTCAGATGCATGTACTTGATGGCGGAAAAAGCCATAACCGACCCTTCGACGCGACTAGCCCAGCAGTACTATTTCACATACATAATTATACCCCCATGGGATTTGAAGCATTATGCCTAACTATCATGGCATCGTAGGGTAAATATCTAGTTCAATTTCTCTTGGGTAATCAATGACGAACCGAAAAGTTTCTGGTTTATTCAAAAACAACAGTTACTTACATAACTTTAAATACCAATGGTTTCTTATACAGGGCCTTCTCGTTCGATGTGGAAGGCGCGAGTAGGGAAAAAAATATAGTATCTTTTAATATACTGCTGAATATCAGAGGCACAATTACTTTATTTTCAAGTTTCCAAATTAGAGGCAATTTGTCATACACGGTTTTCAAAAAATCCTTAAATTATTCCAGACTTCAAACGCTAAGAAGCCAAAGATAGAAGACAAGGAACTTGAAGACATCACGAAGCAAATTGAATCACAGACTTTATTTGGTTAGTAAAGAAGTTCAAATGCATTTAAGCCCTTGCAAAATGGTCGGCGCTTATTGGGCACGAAATGGACCATTTTTACCAAATCGTTATTGTTATTGAAGCATAGAAAAAACGCTTCATTGGATCAATCTTTATTAAACTTCTAGTACTTGAATACGAACGAAATTCCTGAAAAGTTATTTATTTTATAGTCGGAGTCCGATATTTCAACTCAAATTAATTCCGGTTTTTTTTTAAATCATGGGCACACTTCCCTATGACTTTTGACCAACATTTTGCTGCGGGTGCAATAGTCAATTGGCTTTCGTGCTCATATATTTGAACGTTGTCCAAAATCTTGTTCAAAATTCAGCATTCGGACCTAAACTGACTGCGATTTTCATTAAATATAGGTATATTGCGGGGTGTTTTACTCATTCAACCGCAATTAGGGCTATCTACAAACAGTCACTAGTACATTTGAAAGTGCTATTTTTGAAGAATTGAGGATCTCCCCTTTTCGTGATCTTTTCCTATAGTCAGTTATGCCAACGTATTTATATTCCTCGCTTTAACTATTCTTTTATTAAGATAAAAAGCGATCAAAGAAAGGCATATTTGGACGAAATAGGCAGCAAGAAGCTTCATGTTCTGGTAAGCAATGTGAGTGTGAAAGTAAGTTAATTTCGATTAACTTGACAATTTTAAAAGTCGTGCAGTTGGCGTCTGAAGTCATTGTTACATGATTTTCAAGTCGGAGTCGTTTGTTTCATATTTCCGGGAACCCGGATCGAAGTCATATTTGACGAGACTCTCAGAAACTCTCAACACTCCTTGGGGCCCCCGTTCTTTAAAAAAATAATACCTAGTTTTGTTTTTAACAGATTCCATCAGCTTTTTTACTCGCTAAGTTTAATAATGAAAAGCCAACAAGGGGCCAATTTAAAGAAACCATGGCATATGCCCTATAGTGTAAAATGAAATCAAACTGACTGCAATTATTTATTTCAGCCTCAATTACGAGAGAACGCAACGAATCACAGCCTCAAGAATGTAAAGCAATTCCTATTCCCGATCAATCCAGCGCTGGTTAGTATTTCAATATTGAATAGTGCTATCGATTCAACCATTCATTATTCGGTACTCCTGTAGTATGGAAACCAAGATGGCGGACACCGGAACGTAGCATGTGTACCAGATTAGGGTTAGGCCATGATTCCAGGTACAAATACTACAGGAGTCACTTGGCTAGTCCCTAAACTCGTAATAGAACTAAAATAAGGAAATTGGAATAAAATTATGTCCTAACCCTAACCTGGTACACATACTACGTTCCGGTGTCCGCCATCTTGGTGCACATACTAGGGGAGCGCCCCTTAACGTTCTATGTTTTTGCACTGGTCTTGCTTCTCACTAACACAGTGGTTATCAAACTTTTAAAGCCGCGTCCCCTTTTTACAATTTCTCACATCGCGCGACCCACCTCAAAAATATGCTAACAATAATGTACAAATAACAGATAGTAAAGCTCCAAGCTAAGAATAGTGAAGATACAAGCACAACAGCTCTTTGCAATCTCTAAAGAATAAAGAAATGTAAATATCCAAAATTAGGCGGACAAGATGAAATCTAACCAATATTTTTTATTTTAACTAGCTTCACGCTCCCTCAAAATAGTCTACGCCCCATTGTGGGGAGCGCCTCGCTGTTTGAGAACCATCGCACTAACGCAAATACAATACTGTATTTCATGTAAATCCTCTTATCTGAGTACAAAGCTATAGTTGAAGTTTATAACATTCAGAAGAATATTTATTATTCTTGATTTTTTTTATTCCAGTTGACAACCAGGTAGTTGGACATTCTCGCACAAATCCAGAGTCCTTATTTGTGAACCTTGGTCAAGGTTAGTGAAGCTTTAAAAAATTTTGTCATCCTATTAGGTAAGAAATTACCCTGCATAAACTAATGATATTTCAAGGGCGGTATGCCCTAACATATGAACACGAGAAAAAACCAATTTTGGGCACTTCAGTAGTATGTGTACCATTATTGAGGTAACTTATTTCGTTCGCCTACTTTACATCAAGTTGTGTAAAGGAACTGAAACTAATGGGCAGGGGTATATCCACATGGATATCCACATATGTCCTAACCCCACCCTGATACACATACTGGGGGAATACCCAATTTTGAGCATAAAAACCTTGCTGATTTTACTACCTTATTTACATTTCATGTTTGTTCTAACTTTATATCAGGACGTCGAGGCAAATAAAGTAGCCCTCGGCTTCGAATGGAAATTTTGTGCCAAGTCCGGCTACCGGTGGGCGTAGCTTCGCATACATAAAGAGTTCATTTAATATGTGATTGCCAAAATTAATCATTTGAAAAGATAGACGATTACCCGTTTAAAATATTCAATTCATACATAGTTGGTAAGGCGGCCTTAGATTAGCACCGAGTTTCACAGACTCCCACGAGGTGGTATATGAGCAAACAGATATTGTGTGGTGTAATATCATACCCGATCAGACTCTGAAGAAATAGAAAATAGGTAAGAGTAATAGTAGCCTTTTAGTGGTTTAAATCTAACTAAAGCATTGAAAATTTAAATTTCTTTGGTCTATTCGTTTAGTAGAAAAGCGATTTTTTTACAATAACAGCGAAAATGTCAAGAGCAACAATAATAATTTTGCAATTTGCATTTTACACTACACTTTTTGTTTTAGAGAAACAACATCCTCAACATGGCCGCTCCTTGCCACCTTCGTCTCCATGGCTGAACCAGGAACAAAATATGAATCAACAAGGTTTGTCAATTACTCAACTTTTTTGTCACTGATCAGATTTGGAGATTTATTATAATGTGCACAAATTCCAAAACTTAGATCAATAAAAGGAAGCCATGTTCAAATATATAGACACTGCAATATCACCTAATTTCCAATCAAATGTTACGTCACTTTGCCTAAAGGTGTGTGCAAGGTGTCATATAAAAGTGTTCCCGTAAATTAAAAATAAAAATAATAGCTTTCTTGCGACGTCTTGTGTGAGTACTGAAATTTTGGAATTGATTGCTCAGTCGAGAACGGCAAAAAGCAAATAATCCTAGCAACAGAAGTTTGAGAAAACAATTCTTTTTTCACTTTTGAACGAAATTATTTCATGTTTTAATAGTGTCTAGAGACTCTAGAATAGATAAAATAACGCCTTAAACACTTTTATGTTTCAGTGGGGCACCAAGGCCAATCCCAACCTCCATCTCCGTGTCAGATCTCAGGACCGCATATGACGTCACCAGGTTTGGCATTTATTCAAGATTTTTCATAACGCACACAACTTACAAAATATAAATTAGTGGGATAGAGTGATGTACATATTTTATGAAAACTAGTGTCAAATACCTAATATGGCCTATGCAATACCACCTAAATTCCAATCAAATGGTACGTCACGTCGCCCGAAAGTGTGTGCCAGATGTCATATACCCGTGTTCTCATGAATTAAAAATGAAAATAATAGATTTTCTGAGACGTCTTCTGTAAGTACTGACATTTTGCAACCGAAGACTTTGAGCAGTTGAGCAGAAAAGCAACAACCCCAGCCACAGCAGTTTAACAAAACAATGCTTAGTTCGAAATTATTTCAAGTTTTAATAGTGTCTAGACAGAGACTCTAGAACGATAGAATGAAGTCTAAAACCCTTATATGTTTCAGTGGGGCACCATGGACAATTACAACCTCCGTCTCACTGGCAGAGCCCAAGACCGCATGTGAACCAACCAGGTTTGTAATTTACTTGAGGTTTAAAATTTGACATAAACTAAAAACTTCTTCAAATACTTGTAACTATTATTTATTTTGTGGTAGAACACCGCCAGGGTTGTCCATGAGAATGGGATTCCCATGAAAAACCTCTGGCGTGCCCGTGTAAATGGGACAAGCATATATATACTGCTATGGGATGGTATAGGACAGACAGATATGTCCCATGGACAAGCCTGAAATTTACTGATAAGATCACTGCAAAATCAGTTCAATTCCAGACGATTGTATTGTACCAAATGTCACGCGAATATGTGCTGTATAACAGTGTCCCCGTGAATTCAAAAACAATGAAATTATTAGCTCTCTAGCGACTTCTCCTGTGAGTAATGAAAATTTGAAACCTGTCGAATACGTAGTCTGTCACAATGACTAGCCCTGTTATCAAATTTTGGGTACTCCCGAAGTATGTGAACCAAGATGGCGAACGCCGGAACGTAGTATGTGTACCAGGTTAGGGTTAGGCCATAATTTCATTCCAATTTTTCTTATTTTAGTTCTATTACCAGTTCGGGGACTAACCAAGTGACTCCCGAAGTATTTGTACCTGAAATTATGTCATAACCATAACCTGGTACACATAATACGTTCCGGTGTCCGCGATCTTGGTTCCCATACTTCGGGAGTACCGAATTTCGTCCCAGGAATAAACACAAATATCCTACTTTATGCTAAAATACATAAACATGTGAATGTACTTCGTAACAGACCAGCGACCAACGAATGCTTCGATAGGTCAACACAACGTCAACAATACCGTGCATCCGTGCGCCGGAGCTGGGATGCCACTAGGTAGGTGTAAAACACTAAGCCTAAAACTTCATTACAGTCCTTTAGTGTGAAAACCTCCTAAGTAGGGGACATCAGAATTAAAAGCCCGCTTGCACTTTACTAATTGTATATGTAGGTAAGAACACAAGATTTAATGTTTATTACACACCTTTACTGAGCAAAACTCTGCCTACAGGCCACCAGAAAGCTTGTTCGTACTTTACAAATTGTGCTTTTACTTGTCGTATTTAACGGACCATAAGACGCACTGGGTTATAAGCAGGGTTGCCATATCGTGCTTATTTCTAATATTTGTGCTTATTTTCTAGACCGCGTCTTATAAAGTAACGATGTGCTTATTTCTAAGAAAGGTGCTTATTTTGTCTTAGAAACGTGGATGACTTGTTCTTGTTTTGCATAAAAAGCAATTTAGACAATGGGTAAGCGTAACCATGAGTTCTGTTTCGAATATGAAAAAGAATTTGCTGATAACTACTACTATTGCGACATCGAGAAAAGGGGGAAATCAGTAATCAGTGCCCACAATACTACCACAAAACATAACAAGAGAGCTATGCTCAAATATATGGACACGTAGCGCCACCCAATGGCAATAATTTTGATGACGTCATAGCGGGGAAAAAAGTGATTGCCTTCTGGAGAAAAATTTCATCTTTAACCACTGAAAATCAAAGCATTTGGTCCAGTATTCGAAGAGAAAAGCGATTTTTAATGATAATGACGAAAGAAAATAACAATAACAACAAAATTTTGAAACGATCGTTATAGATCGTTAAGATCAGGGGTCGGCCACCTGCGGGCCATATCCGGCTCGCGGACAAAAACAATCCGGCTCGCAATGCTTCACTGAAACTGAAACCAACGGATCGTTTTTATGTTGTTCTTGTTCTTCCTTAATAATTCTTTTTCTCATCGTTATCAAAAAATCGCTTTTGTTTTCAATTACTGAACCAAAATGAACTTTTCCGTGCGGAGAACTGCGACTAGTTATAGGCTACCCATTTAGAAAATGTTATAATTTCGGTTTTATTCAAGGTTTCACCTGATGTCGAAAAGGTATCAAGCGTGATGCACCAAATAGTGTTACATTGAATATTATTTGTAAATATTTTGCATAGTAAGACGACTTGAGTCCACGAGTTGTCGCAGTCTTCGCTCGCTAATTGAAGTCTATAACTTCAATTTTTAATCTGTATAAATAATGTGGTTAATCATCCACCCGTTCAGTTTTTAACTTTCTCGAAAAAATATGTGCGGCCCGCCAAGATTTGTAACACTTGATTTTGGCCCGCGAGCGACAAAAATTTGCCCCTGCTTTAGAGATTGCGTGTCGCAGTAACTCCATAGCTTTTTGCGATCCCGAAGCTGCGTACAGCCGTGTTCGAAGCGACTTCTAATAATCAAAATTGGAAGACTGGTGTATGATCTCCTTTTTGACGCCGTGCTTATTTTTGGCTCTGGGTAGATGGCAACCCTGGTTATAAGGCACACCACCAATAAAATACTTAAATTGGGGTTTGTCCATACATAAGGCGCATTGAGTCGTAGTCGGTGCTGGTTTCTAGTGTAGGCAACAAAGCACTACTTGATCCATAAATTAGGCTCCTTATAAGACGACGCGCGATCAATTTTTGAGGAAAAACACTCGAAGCGCGTATCATGGTCTGTAAAATACGACACTATATAAATGACAAGTAATCTCATTTATTTTTATTCTTGCCCTGGTGGAGTCTGTCTGTATAGACATTTGAAACGTTAGGTAAAACATCCCATTTTAGCGGTTGTGAATCTATTAAATGTGCTTAGCAGTGTTGAGACGCTCGGGTTATTGACTCGACTCGAGATGAAAACGAGTCACCGTCTATCAAATACTCGAGTCATATTATTAAAAAGAACCCAGACTCGTGTTTAACTGATAGTCAGTGAAATTTGGAATTCGTAGTCGACACGGATGGCCCGTAATTTAACCTGACTCGTTGCTTAGAAACTTCCGGCCAACAATGTATTATAGTATTTCCGCCAATGTCGAGGTTATTACCCGTTGACGATTATTCATTTTCAGATCAACCGAACGTGAGAAACGTAGAAGCACCGCGTTGTCAAGATTTGCAGCAGAATCAAAATGGCATGATACAACTAGCTAGGGAATGTAAGTTTGAATTCTAAGTTCTGTTTATTCTCTTTGTAACTTGTTCAACATTATGGATCGTTTTGTAATATTACGATAGGCCCTTTCATATCTATCACGTGGCAGAGAAAAGCCGATAACACGATTACCATCCCATGTCGGGTATGGGATCAGTTAAGCAGTTATTTGTTTCAGATGCACGATATAGATTTCGCTCTTCTTGTTGTTGCTGTTGCGACAAAAATTAGTTATAACTTTTTTTCAGTACATAGAGATAAAAGAAGCATATCAGTCCAAGCCATTTTTTTGAATCCTCCCAAGATTTTTCCCAAAGTTTTGCTGGTTTTCATAATTCGCAGACGGCATACTTTATTAATATGATATTCGGTACATTTTTGTTGGAATTATTTAGAGATGGTATTAGTCATTTGACATATCAAACATTAGAGCATTAGGCTACATCATTGTCGTATTTCAAGATTTGAAATTTCTTCATTTGTACCGTTTTCCTCAAGGCTTTAAATTGAATCGATTAAATCTGTGTAACTATTTGGTAATGCCACTGGAGTTTCTTGCGCAATCGAAATTTCCGCGAAGTATTATGAGCCGATATCAAATGGTGGCTTATTGTGATTTGACGTTCTTTGCTCAACAGCGACACATTGTGGCTTTTCTTAAAAGTGAATTCAATTCACCATATACTAAAACTTTGTGGCCCGTTCTCAGTTTTATTTAAATTTATTTCGTAACACTATGTTCGGTTATCATTCTACTGCTTTTCCTGTGTTTAACATCTGTTGGATTTCGCTTCTTTTTTCACAATAGTAGCCCCTTATGAGTGTCTGCTTTTTACAAGGCTCTGTGTAAGCCTTCACTGACAACTTAGGAAGAATAACGAACTATTCTTGCGCCTACAGGATGGACACACTGACCTCTATATAATTATCGTTACTGTTAGTTAAATTCAAAGAGTTGAATTACTTACTTTAGTCAGAAATGCCTAAGGGTAGATATTGAATACGTCCCTGCAAGAGGCCATTTCTGTAATGATGTTGTTTATACTTTAGTTACGAGATGCAGAGATCCAAAAGGACATGTCATCATCAACTCAAATATTTGTGAGTATTGTTGAATTCAGTTTATCCTCCTAATGAGGAGTTTCTGAGCCGCTACTACAACCAAGGCTCATTTTCCAGTAGGCACTGATGCATAGAGAAAATGATACTGTACATAACAGATTCAATGATTCGCATTAAAAGTGTTTTAAATATTGGAGTTGTTAGTGCGGGGTGTGCAAAAGACTACTTGCGAGTCTAATCCCCGCCCGCTAAGCGGCTCTCGTCAACATTCAGATTTTTTCTTCACCAAGCGTAAAATACTAATCCGACAGTTTTTTTTTAAAAGTCGCTCACATGGATGTAAAAAAATGTAATGTTTTTTTCTCGTTTTGCTGCGTTTGTGCGGTGCCTTTATTGCTGCAAGGCATTGGTCAAAACGCAAAATATTTAATGCAACGAAACAAAACGTTATGTAGTTTTATCCATGTGAGCGACTTTTCAGGCATAAACTGTCGGAAAAGTGTTCCATGATTGATGTGGTAAAATCTGAGTGTTGAAAAGAGCCACACTATAAGGCTTAGTGAGACGGGATGTGGTCCGCCTGTCGCACACCCCTGCTTTAGGATAAAGAAACCTTCGAAAATCATCAGTTGAAAACAATGATTTTTGAGTTTCTGTCCGATATTATTGGCTGCGAATATGACCATTGAAAGTCTGAAATCCCTACTCCGACTCTACGACCTTGAACCGACGTTAATTTTAAAAAAATTATCTTATCTCAAAATAAGCATTTCAATTTTGTTCAGTATTTTCATCATCCATAGCAAGCCCGGGATTGGACATGCAAAGAAATGGACCAAACATGCTTGGAAACGGTTTCCTTCATACTTGGCCTCCCGAAGGTAAACTATTGTTGTTGCTTTTGATATAGTTTTTTGCCTTAGGCTTGATCTAGTGAGGTATTGATGAAACATTTTTCTTCTTGTGTGTCGACGCTCAACAAATTACGTGGTATTAGATTAGGTGATTTTGGTGATTTGTGTGTATGGAGGATCCATTACAATTAAAAAAGTCACATGCAATTGAATAATTCTTGAGTATTCTAGATTCGATCCGGAAAAACTATTCGATTCGATTCTGAAATCAGTAGATATTCGAAAATGCCCAGTCCCACATGTGAGTAATTCTATCTATAAGGCTGAAACCATATCTTAGATTGTTATTAAACACGAAAAGGCATGTTTATCGTTAGAAGAAGGAAGTAGTCTATTATTTTCTCTCAAGATGCTAGATTTTCAACCCGGAATTTTCTTGTTTTCATTACCAAAACCTTTCATATTCTAAATAGAAAAACTTTGACATTACCTTAACTTGCATGTATATATATATATATATATATATTTGAGCTGAAAGTTTCTGGAATGCGATTGTGTTAATTTTTTTCCATTGAGCCCGATATCTTCGAAAAAATCATCTTAAATTCACGAGAACACTTCTAAGTAATAAATGGAAAACCTTTCATATATTCATATTTGAGCATTGCTCTTCTGTTCTACAGTCTCTCCAGACCAACCAGCACAAAATCATGACAATCCACAAATGCACTGCCAACCTCAAGATAGTATCAGGTAATTTGTGTGCTGGAATTTTTGTTGTTGTTCTTGCTATAAAAAATTGTTTTTCTCTGTAATTATATCTTTCAAATTGTCAGTGGTTAATGACGAAAGTATCTCACAGAAGCCTGCAGCCTTAATTTTACAGGATGACCACAAAGTCGCGTAGCAAAGTAAATATCAAAATTCCAAAGATACAAAAATCTTGAAATCATTTGATCTTGATAAATAGTTCTCTCTGATTCATCATGATAACATTATAAAAAAAGTATGAGTCGCCTATTGACGTGCATTGGCATCATAATAGATTGCGAGTTTTACCTTGGTGTGCGACTATGAGGCCATGCATATACCAAAGTCGCTTGGAACTTTTGGACTTTTTCGCTTGATAATTGCGCATTCATTTTTGTCATATTCCAAAACGCTTTTAATGTAGAATTTATATAAAGTTAAATTTATCACCCCAATATGCTTTCTAGGCATCCACAAGGAGATACTGATTCCGACGATGGAAACTTTGAAGATGCACCCGAGGAGCGAATGTTGTAGTTCATGACGTTCAAAAGGATAAGCAATAAATTTATTAGCAAATTCTTGCGAAAGATCGTTGAAGCAGAGGGAGCATACCATGGATTGTAGCTTTGGAGAGTGCCAATAGGCAATGTTTAGCTCAACTGCTGTATCGTACAGCGTACATGCGACTAGACTAATCACATTGCGAATTATTTTGACGAAATATTATTGATTAGTGTGACACTTCTATTCCAAAGCTCGAATGTATTAAATGAGCAGACAGTCATTATTATGTGCAAATCTACTATTTCTTGAATCTACAGCTACTTTCTACCGAATTTATTACACTCTGACTGAGATGATGGGGAAAGAACTTGTGGTCTTTGGCTTGCGATACCAACATATTTGATTCTAACGCTATAATTACGCGGCCATGCGCCAAATGGCTTTAAAATCGTCACTTTTCATGAAATCAAAAAATAACCACAGAACAGTTAGCGACTCTAGTCTTGCAAGATTAGTTTTGGACACGCAGTGACCCTATAGATCGTTTTGTTATTACTTGCTATTTTTTTTTTTTCTTGTGAAAAAATCGCTCCCTCTATTAACCACTTGACCAGTTGCTCTAAAATTTTCAGTGCTTAATAATTGTATTTTTTGCTAGAAGGCTATTACTATTTTTTTTTCAAAAATGCCTGTGGCCTCTATGGAAATCGTTTTTTCGATGACGTCATTGAAATGAAAAATTGCGCTCTTTGCGGTGGTTCCGTGATAATTGGTTTCTATATTTTTGAGATTCGGCGTTACCTGCCCAATTTGTCACACCCTGGTTAGACGAGAGGTTTCCAATCTGAAATTTTGTCCCGAGATTTGTAATGTGGCATAGTTAATTTCAACGCTGTAATCCATTGTGTTAGTTAGTTCCCAAATTCAAATATATATGTGTTCGTTATTTTTTTTTTATGAAATTTCACATTAAAAAAACTTAACCATAGATAGCTTTCGTAACACAGCAATGGTAATTGTTAGTTTCACATCTAACTTCAGTAAAATTTTGTTTTATGTTGGAACAAGAAATTCCATCTCTCATTAAATACAAGACCAATCGATTTCACTTTTTAGTATATAAAATAGGAAAGGGTCTTTTATGTTATGTTTCATGTTATTATTTGTGAATTAATGAAAACTCACTCATAGGGCGCCCCATTTTTTTAGTCAAGGATGGGATTTGAGTTCTATGAGAATGTTTCTATGAAATTGGTGCTACAATCGATGACACTCTACGATCTCACCTCTAAACGTGGAAGAAACTCTCGTAGAAATCAGTTTCTAACCCTAACTAAAATCACACAATCATTGAGATCGCATACAGAAGTAGCACCGTTAACGGTTATTATGTTTTAGACTGGCCGATAACTTTCCGGGACCTTGCCTGATGACGTAAAATTTCGTCTTTGTAGAATTTTTGTATATTATTTAATTCCGCACAATCGGTGCTACTTTGACATGAGATTGAGTTCACCTTAAAAGCGAGGGAAGTCGCATACCAAAGTGGCAATGTTTTTCATTGCATAAAATAATTTAATATCAAAAAATCAATTGCATAATATATCAATGTAAATAAATTTTTATTAAATTTCGCATTCACCAAAACCTTTGTAAATCAATTTTGTGTTTTCGAAATAATTTCCCGCGTGCAGAGATTTGGATTTCGTGTCCGGATACTCTGGAATTAATTTTTGATTTCAAAAGTGTCCTCCTTATGCATTTTAGATATATGCCTACCGTTTGTCTTAAAATTTTCTTAAATAGTATTAAATTTGTTGTGTAATAATATGTATTGTATTGAGCTTTGCACACTAAATACACTAAATACTTGCTTGTTCGCATCCGGCGCAAAAACAAACAAAGCGACGACACTCTGAGCAATGATGTTCGGCAATTGTCGACTTGGCTCATCGAATTCCGAGGCTTTTGCTTACATCGTGGTATAATATCGGAATAGAAGAATTAGAAGTCTAATAAAAAGATCAAAGATATTTCTTGTAACTTTAACTTCAACAGTGTTCGTCGTTTTTATTGAATCTTGATGTAAATCACAAGCTACACAAGAAACAGGTCATTGTTTCTCAACGCGGTTCCTCGGGCTCACGAGTTAGGATATTCGAAATGGTCGTGGAGTTTTAATTGGGCCTACAGTAGACTTTATATAGAAGTTTCGATGGTCTTTTCACGGTTGAAACGGAAAAGAGATAACATACTTTACAACATACGTTTTGCTGGTAGTGCGATTAAAATTCGACTAAATCTACTGTCTTTTTCAAGTTTTGGTTTTCATATTTTTTTATTATTATTAATAATGTATTCCAGTTAAACAAAACTCAATTAAATTTCTTTGACAATTTAAGTTGCGAATGGTATCTATTGAAGGCCTTTGCTAGTGGCCCCTGAAGAACGCCTCTCCTTGGCCTCCTAGGGCGGCCGTGCGCAAAGTTTGAGAAAAGCCGCATAGAGAAAAATATGCGCCAGATCGAACAGATATAGGAGGTATCAATACAGTGAAATTACAGACTACAATACGCTTGTGAGGGCCAATATCTCACCTCGGGTACGAAACGAGGGAATCCCCTGGTTCGCAATTACGCGAGAGACGAGACAGTTTTTGTACACCTCTATCGCACACACACGCACCTACCCGAAAAAAATATTGGCACAAACAAACTCATCGTTCTTAGAATTACGCGTAAGACGAGACAGTTTTTGTACACCTGTAATGGAGCATAACGCGCTAGTCGGAGTTTGTAATGAATTAGAAACGGAGTACCTTAATATAAGGATTTATTCAACTTGAATCTAAAGCACGCTTAGAATAAACATAATATATGAAAAAAAAAGTAAATATTGCTAAGTTGTATTATAAAAAATATTGCACATTCTGTCGGTGTATAATATGTCTAGGAGCTAAGAATATGTTTTTGGTTATCTGCCGACGAGGGAAATAGTTGATCGGTACCTTTCTTGGAACAAGCTGTGAGATAAATGCATTAGGCGGGCAATGTAGATTAAGAAAGATTTTACCATTATGTTTTACCATCAAAAAGGTCGGAGAAATATCTAACATTATGATGTGAGTTGACCTGATAATGTCAAGTACCTAAAGATATTAGGTGCAGATTTCATAATGTTAATTATATTAGTACAACTACGGATTGTGGACGAAATGGAGAGGGTAGCTATCTGGTTTGAATTTTAGGCCGAGCTTATTATTGATGTGTTGAGGTTAAACAAAACAGTTCATTTTAGACGAAATCTCGGAATTACACCGTGAATTTGGGACTAATACTGGTCGGCGTAGTGGCGCAAAATGTTTCCTGTTCGTTGTTTCGGGTTTAGGTCATCACTATGATTTAAAAAAGTATGCATGCTCATAAATCTGTTTTTCCCTATATGTTGGATTGGATGTTAAAACCTTTGGTGTCTCTGTTCGAAAACCCGTTTTGGTGAAAAATAAACAACTGACTGACTGACTAAATAAACCAGCAAATACCCGTTTATCGTTCATTGTATCAAACATGAAACTTACCAATATCATAAATGTTTATTTAGATGAAATATTGTTATCGATGTGTTTAAATAAATAAAAAAATTGATATTATTAATGTGTTGACATTGGTATTTTGAATTGGTATTCTATGAACATTACGTGAACTTGCAGATATGGAAGTACAATGTTTGGTAAAACGCGCCAATGTTCCTCAATATACTCTTGGATTACTGCAAGGGAGGAAAGTTAATCGTATCTCAAAGATATTTGAATAGTTATGGATTTGGATGGACATGGTCGCGTGGCTTTCCTGCGTTGATTACAGCTTTCAGTCAATTTGTGAATATTTTTTCAATTTGTCTTATTTATCGATGAAAATTGTAGCAACTATGGAAAATACGATTCCGTATTTTATTTTTAGGCAGGGATTCGCTACAATATAATCTACTACCCCTTGTTTTATTTGCTTGTGTCGCGTTTTCATACTTTGTGCTATTTTTATAATTCGAAGAAATTTGTTATTTTTTTTTATGAAATTTCACATTAAAAAAACTTAACCATAGATAGCTTTCGTAACACAGCAATGGTAATTGTTAGTTTCACATCTAACTTCAGTAAAATTTTGTTTTATGTTGGAACAAGAAATTCCATCTCTCATTAAATACAAGACCAATCGATTTCACTTTTTAGTATATAAAATAGGAAAGGGTCTTTTATGTTATGTTTCATGTTATTATTTGTGAATTAATGAAAACTCACTCATAGGGCGCCCCATTTTTTTAGTCAAGGATGGGATTTGAGTTCTATGAGAATGTTTCTATGAAATTGGTGCTACAATCGATGACACTCTACGATCTCACCTCTAAACGTGGAAGAAACTCTCGTAGAAATCAGTTTCTAACCCTAACTAAAATCACACAATCATTGAGATCGCATACAGAAGTAGCACCGTTAACGGTTATTATGTTTTAGACTGGCCGATAACTTTCCGGGACCTTGCCTGATGACGTAAAATTTCGTCTTTGTAGAATTTTTGTATATTATTTAATTCCGCACAATCGGTGCTACTTTGACATGAGATTGAGTTCACCTTAAAAGCGAGGGAAGTCGCATACCAAAGTGGCAATGTTTTTCATTGCATAAAATAATTTAATATCAAAAAATCAATTGCATAATATATCAATGTAAATAAATTTTTATTAAATTTCGCATTCACCAAAATCTTTGTAAATCAATTTTGTGTTTTCGAAATAATTTCCCGCGTGCAGAGATTTGGATTTCGTGTCCGGATACTCTGGAATTAATTTTTGATTTCAAAAGTGTCCTCCTTATGCATTTTAGATATATGCCTACCGTTTGTCTTAAAATTTTCTTAAATAGTATTAAATTTGTTGTGTAATAATATGTATTGTATTGAGCTTTGCACACTAAATACACTAAATACTTGCTTGTTCGCATCCGGCGCAAAAACAAACAAAGCGACGACACTCTGAGCAATGATGTTCGGCAATTGTCGACTTGGCTCATCGAATTCCGAGGCTTTTGCTTACATCGTGGTATAATATCGGAATAGAAGAATTAGAAGTCTAATAAAAAGATCAAAGATATTTCTTGTAACTTTAACTTCAACAGTGTTCGTCGTTTTTATTGAATCTTGATGTAAATCACAAGCTACACAAGAAACAGGTCATTGTTTCTCAACGCGGTTCCTCGGGCTCACGAGTTAGGATATTCGAAATGGTCGTGGAGTTTTAATTGGGCCTACAGTAGACTTTATATAGAAGTTTCGATGGTCTTTTCACGGTTGAAACGGAAAAGAGATAACATACTTTACAACATACGTTTGCTGGTAGTGCGATTAAAATTCGACTAAATCTACTGTCTTTTTCAAGTTTTGGTTTTCATATTTTTTTATTATTATTAATAATGTATTCCAGTTAAACAAAACTCAATTAAATTTCTTTGACAATTTAAGTTGCGAATGGTATCTATTGAAGGCCTTTGCTAGTGGCCCCTGAAGAACGCCTCTCCTTGGCCTCCTAGGGCGGCCGTGCGCAAAGTTTGAGAAAAGCCGCATAGAGAAAAATATGCGCCAGATCGAACAGATATAGGAGGTATCAATACAGTGAAATTACAGACTACAATACGCTTGTGAGGGCCAATATCTCACCTCGGGTACGAAACGAGGGAATCCCCTGGTTCGGAATTACGCGAGAGACGAGACAGTTTTTGTACACCTCTATCGCACACACACGCACCTACCCGAAAAAAATATTGGCACAAACAAACTCATCGTTCTTAGAATTACGCGTAAGACGAGACAGTTTTTGTACACCTGTAATGGAGCATAACGCGCTAGTCGGAGTTTGTAATGAATTAGAAACGGAGTACCTTAATATAAGGATTTATTCAACTTGAATCTAAAGCACGCTTAGAATAAACATAATATATGAAAAAAAGTAAATATTGCTAAGTTGTATTATAAAAAATATTGCACATTCTGTCGGTGTATAATATGTCTAGGAGCTAAGAATATGTTTTTGGTTATCTGCCGACGAGGGAAATAGTTGATCGGTACCTTTCTTGGAACAAGCTGTGAGATAAATGCATTAGGCGGGCAATGTAGATTAAGAAAGATTTTACCATTATGTTTTACCATCAAAAAGGTCGGAGAAATATCTAACATTATGATGTGAGTTGACCTGATAATGTCAAGTACCTAAAGATATTAGGTGCAGATTTCATAATGTTAATTATATTAGTACAACTACGGATTGTGGACGAAATGGAGAGGGTAGCTATCTGGTTTGAATTTTAGGCCGAGCTTATTATTGATGTGTTGAGGTTAAACAAAACAGTTCATTTTAGACGAAATCTCGGAATTACACCGTGAATTTGGGACTAATACTGGTCGGCGTAGTGGCGCAAAATGTTTCCTGTTCGTTGTTTCGGGTTTAGGTCATCACTATGATTTAAAAAAGTATGCATGCTCATAAATCTGTTTTTCCCTATATGTTGGATTGGATGTTAAAACCTTTGGTGTCTCTGTTCGAAAACCCGTTTTGGTGAAAAATAAACAACTGACTGACTGACTAAATAAACCAGCAAATACCCGTTTATCGTTCATTGTATCAAACATGAAACTTACCAATATCATAAATGTTTATTTAGATGAAATATTGTTATCGATGTGTTTAAATAAATAAAAAAATTGATATTATTAATGTGTTGACATTGGTATTTTGAATTGGTATTCTATGAACATTACGTGAACTTGCAGATATGGAAGTACAATGTTTGGTAAAACGCGCCAATGTTCCTCAATATACTCTTGGATTACTGCAAGGGAGGAAAGTTAATCGTATCTCAAAGATATTTGAATAGTTATGGATTTGGATGGACATGGTCGCGTGGCTTTCCTGCGTTGATTACAGCTTTCAGTCAATTTGTGAATATTTTTTCAATTTGTCTTATTTATCGATGAAAATTGTAGCAACTATGGAAAATACGATTCCGTATTTTATTTTTAGGCAGGGATTCGCTACAATATAATCTACTACCCCTTGTTTTATTTGCTTGTGTCGCGTTTTCATACTTTGTGCTATTTTTATAATTCGAAGAAATTTGTTATTTTTTTTTATGAAATTTCACATTAAAAAAACTTAACCATAGATAGCTTTCGTAACACAGCAATGGTAATTGTTAGTTTCACATCTAACTTCAGTAAAATTTTGTTTTATGTTGGAACAAGAAATTCCATCTCTCATTAAATACAAGACCAATCGATTTCACTTTTTAGTATATAAAATAGGAAAGGGTCTTTTATGTTATGTTTCATGTTATTATTTGTGAATTAATGAAAACTCACTCATAGGGCGCCCCATTTTTTTAGTCAAGGATGGGATTTGAGTTCTATGAGAATGTTTCTATGAAATTGGTGCTACAATCGATGACACTCTACGATCTCACCTCTAAACGTGGAAGAAACTCTCGTAGAAATCAGTTTCTAACCCTAACTAAAATCACACAATCATTGAGATCGCATACAGAAGTAGCACCGTTAACGGTTATTATGTTTTAGACTGGCCGATAACTTTCCGGGACCTTGCCTGATGACGTAAAATTTCGTCTTTGTAGAATTTTTGTATATTATTTAATTCCGCACAATCGGTGCTACTTTGACATGAGATTGAGTTCACCTTAAAAGCGAGGGAAGTCGCATACCAAAGTGGCAATGTTTTTCATTGCATAAAATAATTTAATATCAAAAAATCAATTGCATAATATATCAATGTAAATAAATTTTTATTAAATTTCGCATTCACCAAAACCTTTGTAAATCAATTTTGTGTTTTCGAAATAATTTCCCGCGTGCAGAGATTTGGATTTCGTGTCCGGATACTCTGGAATTAATTTTTGATTTCAAAAGTGTCCTCCTTATGCATTTTAGATATATGCCTACCGTTTGTCTTAAAATTTTCTTAAATAGTATTAAATTTGTTGTGTAATAATATGTATTGTATTGAGCTTTGCACACTAAATACACTAAATACTTGCTTGTTCGCATCCGGCGCAAAAACAAACAAAGCGACGACACTCTGAGCAATGATGTTCGGCAATTGTCGACTTGGCTCATCGAATTCCGAGGCTTTTGCTTACATCGTGGTATAATATCGGAATAGAAGAATTAGAAGTCTAATAAAAAGATCAAAGATATTTCTTGTAACTTTAACTTCAACAGTGTTCGTCGTTTTATTGAATCTTGATGTAAATCACAAGCTACACAAGAAACAGGTCATTGTTTCTCAACGCGGTTCCTCGGGCTCACGAGTTAGGATATTCGAAATGGTCGTGGAGTTTTAATTGGGCCTACAGTAGACTTTATATAGAAGTTTCGATGGTCTTTTCACGGTTGAAACGGAAAAGAGATAACATACTTTACAACATACGTTTGCTGGTAGTGCGATTAAAATTCGACTAAATCTACTGTCTTTTTCAAGTTTTGGTTTTCATATTTTTTATTATTATTAATAATGTATTCCAGTTAAACAAAACTCAATTAAATTTCTTTGACAATTTAAGTTGCGAATGGTATCTATTGAAGGCCTTTGCTAGTGGCCCCTGAAGAACGCCTCTCCTTGGCCTCCTAGGGCGGCCGTGCGCAAAGTTTGAGAAAAGCCGCATAGAGAAAAATATGCGCCAGATCGAACAGATATAGGAGGTATCAATACAGTGAAATTACAGACTACAATACGCTTGTGAGGGCCAATATCTCACCTCGGGTACGAAACGAGGGAATCCCCTGGTTCGGAATTACGCGAGAGACGAGACAGTTTTTGTACACCTCTATCGCACACACACGCACCTACCCGAAAAAAATATTGGCACAAACAAACTCATCGTTCTTAGAATTACGCGTAAGACGAGACAGTTTTTGTACACCTGTAATGGAGCATAACGCGCTAGTCGGAGTTTGTAATGAATTAGAAACGGAGTACCTTAATATAAGGATTTATTCAACTTGAATCTAAAGCACGCTTAGAATAAACATAATATATGAAAAAAAAGTAAATATTGCTAAGTTGTATTATAAAAAATATTGCACATTCTGTCGGTGTATAATATGTCTAGGAGCTAAGAATATGTTTTTGGTTATCTGCCGACGAGGGAAATAGTTGATCGGTACCTTTCTTGGAACAAGCTGTGAGATAAATGCATTAGGCGGGCAATGTAGATTAAGAAAGATTTTACCATTATGTTTTACCATCAAAAAGGTCGGAGAAATATCTAACATTATGATGTGAGTTGACCTGATAATGTCAAGTACCTAAAGATATTAGGTGCAGATTTCATAATGTTAATTATATTAGTACAACTACGGATTGTGGACGAAATGGAGAGGGTAGCTATCTGGTTTGAATTTTAGGCCGAGCTTATTATTGATGTGTTGAGGTTAAACAAAACAGTTCATTTTAGACGAAATCTCGGAATTACACCGTGAATTTGGGACTAATACTGGTCGGCGTAGTGGCGCAAAATGTTTCCAGTTCGTTGTTTCGGGTTTAGGTCATCACTATGATTTAAAAAAGTATGCATGCTCATAAATCTGTTTTTCCCTATATGGATGTTAAAACCTTTGGTGTCTCTGTTCGAAAACCCGTTTTGGTGAAAAATAAACAACTGACTGACTGACTAAATAAACCAGCAAATACCCGTTTATCGTTCATTGTATCAAACATGAAACTTACCAATATCATAAATGTTTATTTAGATGAAATATTGTTATCGATGTGTTTAAATAAATAAAAAAATTGATATTATTAATGTGTTGACATTGGTATTTTGAATTGGTATTCTATGAACATTACGTGAACTTGCAGATATGGAAGTACAATGTTTGGTAAAACGCGCCAATGTTCCTCAATATACTCTTGGATTACTGCAAGGGAGGAAAGTTAATCGTATCTCAAAGGTATTTGAATAGTTATGGATTTGGATGGACATGGTCGCGTGGCTTTCTTGCGTTGATTACAGCTTTCAGTCAATTTGTGAATATTTTTTCAATTTGTCTTATTTATCGATGAAAATTGTAGCAACTATGAAAAATACGATTCCGTATTTTATTTTTAGGCAGGGATTCGCTACAATATAATCTACTACCCCTTGTTTTATTTGCTTGTGTCGCGTTTTCATACTTTGTGCTATTTTTATAATTCGAAGAAATTTGTACTATTTCTCAAACAATAAATCTAAAGGTCGTGCGCGACTGGATTACTCGTAACTTAATACTTCCCGGTTATAAGTGTTTACGTCATTTATTTTTGTTCGAATCTTTCTCTATTATCTATGGCGCTCTGAGATCACTTTATTGCGCGGTTTGAGACCACGAACAAAAATCAAAGCATGGATATATTTTAAAATGAAATACGAACAAAAAGCACGCACTCAACTGCTAGAAAGATTGGGAATAGTTACCGGTTAACTTTTATCAGAATGGTAACGGTTATTACAATTAGTAGTAGAATTTGAAGTCTTAATAGCAAGTTCTCTTTTGTATCGAACTCATTAACGACGGTTCCTTGTATTCCAGAAAATGCATGTATCTCGCTAATAGGATGCATTTAAACTGGCGCGTTTTAGATAGATCAAATACAATAACTGCGTTACACGTAACCGTGGTCTGCTGCCGTGGTATAACATATAAAATAAGAACAGGTTCGCTAATTATAACAACACTCCAAGAACGAGTACGCGAATTTCCTGATCCTGCCACTAACAAACAAATTTTGACCGGTAATTGTTATACAAGGTAATACCGGTCTCAAAATTTGAGCTTTGCCATAAAAGTTACGTTTAACATCGGAATCGGTACCTCAAAATATCTAATTTTATTTGCATTTCTTTCGCAAAAGATCGTCTAATCAGAGCGTCTTGTTACAAGGCGGACCATTCCCAGTAACGCCCAGGCAAGTTTATGTTAAATATTCGCAACGAAACATGTCGTAGTTTCCCATTACTATAAGTCAAATATGGCGAATTAAACAGTCAATTTTGCATGGATAACGGCAAAAGAGTTTCCAGTGAAATTTTCGGCCTTAAATCTGATCGGCTAAACGTTTCGTAGTATTTAACTGGGTATCAAATAATGATTGAATGTAAGGTTTCATTACATTTGAACCCACGTACATTTGAACCCATAACAATTGCACCTGCATACCATTGCACCTATGGAATTTTTTTTGTTTTACGGATATTTGAACCCATACTAACCCTAACCCATGGGATTAGCACCCGCATATAGATTGAACCCGCGGATATATACATGGGTTCAAATGTACGTGGGTTCCAATGTACCGAAATGTAATTCACCGAATATAACAGTATACTATTTTTATATTGAAGGTTCAACTTGATCTACGATATAATGCAAACAATTCAGACGGCATTGATGCAGTGGTGATTTTGTCGGATTCGAACGACCACGTTAAATTCAGAGAAAAACTAAATGGAGACATTTCTAGTAAAGTTCTCGCAGAAATTATTACAACGAAATCGGAGGTACATATTCGAGCTAAATTTTTGTGTCGCCACATAATAAACTCGCATTTCTATTTTGTTCTATTCCATATTTGTTTATTTTCGATTTATGTTAAAGACGGCGTAATAGCCTGTGAAACTTAACTATGACGTCATATGCAGGAATCCCATGCCCCCGCATTTCCAAGGGGTAGGATTCCGGTCCTAAAATACAACAGTAGTTCATTTGTTATAAGTTGCTGCTTCGCTCCGCTCCAAAAGTCTGCGGACAACCCAGACATTGCGCGTTGACCACAGGTACACAAACGCACACACACGTGCCTACACAAACCTACGTACGTACCTATATGTACCTACCACACACACCCACACACTTATCTATATTATTTACTTTGACAATGTTTGAAATATGGTTTCAGCTTGTAACGGATCATATGCACAATCATTGAATATACAGTAGTAAAAATAAAAATTTGAATTTTTAAAAGTGTGAACTTTCCGCCGTTCTCAATAAACAAGGCTTTGTACAATCGACAACTGGTATCTAACGATATGTAAATAGAATCTCTCCGACCAAATTTGTCACACCTTGGGTGAGATTAAAACTATTATTTTAATATGCAATGCTGAAGCAGATGGGTTTAATGCTGTAACCACTAGACAAAACGCTTTTATTCATAATTAAAATTAAAATAGTATTCAGTTTTATAAAAAACATTCATCAAAATTTTCATTCTTTTTAGTTGGAAGTTCTCAGTATCTGCGGAGCAAATCTGACATGGCTGTCACTTGAATATCTTCGGACGATATTACGATCTGGCAATGTAACCCAGTTTCTTCCACTTACGAGTTGTCACGGAGATGGTGCTCTATTCAATATGAAGAACTATGAAAGACTCCGAGCTTCTGTAAGGTTACAGTTTCTATAAATTTTAAACTTTGCGGTCGGTGTGGGGCTGGTTGAGAAAATAACTTCAAGTTTAAAATGACTTCGAAATATATTTTAAAAATCATTCCAATTGCCCAGTAAAACTTAGTAATAGCTTTGCTTTAACTTTGAATAAAGAAAGCATTTTTTTCGGAAACAAAATATTCTATTCTAAGGAAGTGTGATAGTGATCTTAAACATGTGTTTTTTATCAGATCAAGTTCAGTTCACTCTATTTCTAATATTGATACTACCGTTTTATGTTTAGTGCTTAAACCTTGAGCCAGTCAACGCTTAGACAATGTCGCATCAGAACGCGTTATGAAATTTTTGCATATATATACATTTTGGAACAGCCCTAATAGGCTCCGAACAAGGCTTTGGTGCGTGATCAATTAAGATAATCGGTGATAATCGATTTATGCCTATTATGCATGCTTTGTCATTTCACGTTGAATAAAATATCCCCTCCAACCGCCAATTTAGTGGTTACCCTATTATCTTTTTTGCGTTTTATCTTGTCATTTTACTTATTTCAGAACAAGTATGATATCAGGATTGGCTGGTTTTATTACATCGGAGACTTGGATCTGGACCGCATTTATCTCAATTCACTCCAGGTCACTACAATTTATCCTCCAAACCTTTACAACTACGCTTTATATTGCTGTAAAAAATCACCATAGCGAGGGCCCTAACTACGTCTTTTATTTTTGAACTTCTGTAACTCTTTATTAACTTACTTCAGTGAATATTGTTCCACACTATGATTGGGTAGCAGCCTGAAGAGCACCCATTCTTTTGTAATATTCTCGAATTCCTCCTATTGTACCTCGTCAAACTCTTTGTAAGATAAAATTTACCATGAATGGGAGTTTTAATTTTCACTGCACGTTTAATTCTAACAAATCACGTTCAATTTTCTTCTGTCCCAATCTAATACAGACAATCAAAAACTATTTACCTCTGAGCACCATGCTCGAAATCAGATCAGAGGTTATTCCTAGAAATTGTCAGTTAGTTATTTTTTCGAGGTGGGGCGCGAGACATGACGTGGTGCGCGGCTTAAAAATTTTGAGAATTACTGGTATGGAGTTTTGTCTAAAGTAATATGTTTGTTGACAGTACAAGAAGATGCTCGGTAAGATCACGCTTCAGGAACTTCTAGATCGTGAAAGAATCAATTTGCTGAATCCGACAGAAAGCAACCGGAATACCAAGAAAAATGCCGTGAGCATCATTTTATTATCAGATCTTTTTTATGTAAATCATAAGACCGCTGAATTTCTTGTTTACGGACTTTTCAATATGGTTCATGTTTACCAATAAAATATTGGGAACTCCCGTAGTGTGTGTACCAGGATAGGGTTAGGCCATAATTTTATTTCGATTCGATTTCAGTTCTATTCGGGGACTGTCTATGCTAGCCCAGTGAATACACCCACCATAGTAATCTGTTCCTGTACACAACCTGATGTAAAGTGGGCGATCAAAATTAGTTACCTCCATATTGATACAAACACTTCTGGAGCGCCAAATATTGTTTATTCACAAATAGAGGAAAATCAAGCTTATCAATTTTTGATAAACGTAAAATCAATACGTTTATTTCTTATGAATTACAATTCATCGCGATATTGACGGACAAATAGTGGAAGAGAAAGCCTACGTCAATGGTGTACCACATGCGGCCCGCGGGCCAGATAAGACCAATAAGAAAACTTTCGGCACGCGGAGACGTGCCAATTTTGAATTGTGTGCGGCCCGCGTTTCAAAATTCCAATGTAGTTTAATCTGGTATGTGCCAGGATTCCAATACCTTCGTGTTGTGAGGCCTATACCAGAGTCCAATTTTTATGACATTGCCCTAACTAACATCTAGTTTGTGCGAAGCGAACAACGCATGTCAGAAGATTAATAACCAAAGTTAAAATTTAAAAAAGGTGTGGCCCGCGGTTTCTCCAGTTATTTGAATGTGGCCCTCTTGTATGAGAGGTTGCAAACACCTGACCTAGGTGTTAATCCATTAGACTTATGGCATTGTGAGTTCAAAAAAATCTCGGGTTCAAATCCCATGCCCACCAAGTCATTCAGGGAGTACTAAATTGTCTACGCAATGCGAAACAGAAAAGCTTCCGGTCTTTCCAAACTCCTTATATAGCTGTTTAGCGTTTGCATATTGTTGTTTGCGCAGAGCCTTGTTTGAAGTGAAAGTGTATAAATGGTTAATCCATTGTTTGTTTTTTTTAATTTGCAAAAAAAGAGCTCCGATCATTAATTTAAAGCCACCTTTTCGTGTCCTTGTGGCGCTCATGGGTCCATTTTTGGCTCTAAACTTGATCAAATATCCAACTTATTATATATATATATACCGTATATATATATTAGAATAAATTAAGCTGAATTACACCAAATTAGAACAAATTTGAACTAATTAAATTATTGCGCAAATGAGTCGAGAAAGGAAATAGGTATTTGTAATAAAAACCCAGCAGAGCTCTTAGTAAACTATTCAAAATTTATTTTAAGGTATCTCACGAAGTAAGCTGGCCAGCTACAGCATCTGAACATGTGAATGAAATAGAGAGAAAGTTTTCAAGAACAGCTGAGGAAAAAACGAAAAGTGTTTTGAAAAAGATGACGAAAAATCTAACAGTTCCCAGTAAGGATGAGTTTTGATTTTATTTTTTTCGCATTTCTTAGAATTTCTTGAAACAGAAATACATTCTGAATGTTGGGACGATGAATCCAGATTATTGAAAATGTTAATGTTATGTACTTTCAACAATTTTAAACCTGTCATTTACTTGAATTTACTTTTCAAATAAGAGCGTAATGCTTAAATAGATGGACCATATGGATCGCTCAAATGCGATCGCGTATCCGTCACACGGTGCGCAATTATCAATTTTGATGACGTCATTGCACAAGACTTCAAAGTGAAAAACGAATCCCATAAAACCCATAGAAATTTTTGAAATAAGTAATAGCCTTCTAGCGGAAACAACAATCTTCAACGGCTGGAAATTTCAAGGAAATTGGTTCATAAGTTTAAGAGAAAATCGATATTTTAATAGAAGAATAAGTATACCAGAAAGAATACTAACAGAAACAATAATTTAAGAAAACGATTAATAACTACACTTTGTGTTCAATAAAGTTGTCGTCGTCATAATGTGCTTATATTCGTTTATTTTTACAGAAATTATTAAGCAGTCAGATAGGGGACAGTTTATTCCTCGAAAACAAAAGCCGGATTTCTTCCCCTTTTTTTGGCCTCGGAACAAACACGGACCGAATTTTGTCAAGGATTATCAAGGTATTGGAATTGTTAGTGTTAAGTACTTGCTAATAATTGTGCATTTTAATCTATAAATGGGTAATCGCATGAGTAAAAGACGGCGATGCCATGGATTCAGAAATATGAGTGCTGAAGTAACCACGTGCTGAAGTGCTTCAACCAGTTTAGCAGCTGTATTATAGTAATTGATGTATATGTTCGATGTTTTTGTATCTCATTATGGAGTTTGTTTGCAGATTTGCATTTTATTCATTCGAACACAAATGCTTTTGTTTTCACGAAGTTTTTGCCTACCCGGACAGATCTAAATGCTTTTAACAGTTGAAGCTTGAAATTAAAGATCCTTTGAGCAAAGATTAGTATTATAGTCTAATCAATTTTTTGCATATTTTTTGTGAGTTTCAGCATTAATTACAGATCTTAAATTTTTCAAGGATTCGATCAACAATACATGGCTACTAACAGTTATAGAGATCACTCGAGAATAATCATAAAAAAGATCGTTTTGTATCCACTCCTAACATGGTAAGGAATGTAAAAACCCATTTATTTTTAATATTGATAGTTTGAGTATTTTTTCCATCATTTCATCAAATTTTTAAAAAAAACGATTTATTTGCATTTACACAATCAAAATTGCCATTTTTGGTATTTGATGATATGATGTGCTAGATTTTTGCTAGAAATACCATGTATTTATCATCATTCTTTTATTACAAAAATTGACTCATAGCAAAGTCAAGCTAAGAGGAAAAATAGGGAGATCAATGTCTGAGCAAAGTGACGGACGACCAACGCCAAAATTTAACACTTGAATAGAAAAGCTTACGATTTTCATTAAAATAAAAGTCAAAATATCTTGCAAGCAAAAAAAGAGAGAAATGCTCGTGATCTATCTGGAAGCTTTTTAGAAGTTTAATTAACCTAATCATTGAACATTTATTGGTCATTTTCATACAGTTTTGCTCACATCTAGTTCACGAACCATTAACTAAAAGTGAAAAAAATACTGATGACTTTTGATGGGATTTGAAACTGAGATTTCAATAGACCCCAATCACATAGTTTCATAAAAATTAATATTTTACTCATGTGGTATAAATATGTGTACGAGAACTTTAAAATCTTTCATGTTGTTCTACATAAAATATTTCATGTTGCTCTATATTTAATTGTGCCACCTTTATCATTTAAAATAATACTTCCCCACAAGAAAACAGTGCGCGCCCAAAATTAGTCCAACAGGTCATTTCGTAGCGAAGCGGAGAATTTGTAAAAAATGTTTTACAGGGCAAATAAAGACAATTGGCGTGAAAGTTTCGAACTACTTTTACTGCATCTAGAAGAAGAAAAGTGCCGCACCGGGTATAATTCCTATAGGCGGCGGGTCATACGGGACGATACATATAGAATAGAATGCATAGATGTGCCTGAATGTTGCTTCAATGGAGTGATATCAGCATTGAAAGCGAATTGCAGTGGACAGATTACTTTATTTGTTTCCAATGACAATCTCACTCTGGTGGAAAATGTGATTCGAGCGACAAAATCCAAATCGAGGGTGGGCATACTCATTCTTAAATCAAATATTCCAGTGACAACCCCGATTGTTTGAATCACAAAATCTTGCAAGCAGTGCATCAGAAAAAATGTGAATTTTACCGATACGTAAAAATATTCAGTTGAATTTGATCTGCGTAGGTCAAGTGTCATGACTTGAGTAAATAATCCAAAAATTGATATTTGAGCGCGCCAATGCTATTGTGGCTTTTCATAAATGCTATTTTTTCTTACGATTTTAGATCCAACTTTAATTTGTTACTTAATGTTACTCGAAATCTGGCTAATGCATAATATCTGCATAATTTTATAGTTACTATTTAATTGATGTATTAACGAGCATGTCTGACAAAATAAATTGGTTGGAGAGACTCGTTCCTAGCATCCCACTTTATTATCATATTTATTAAGTCCGTGCAGCTGAATATTAATTTGATCGTCCTATCTATGCCCTATGCCTGACTTCAATTTGCTGGGCGATAAGCAGTAGTTTACACATGATTAGGTCTTATATTATTTAAATAATTACTTCTTCAAGAACTATGTGAAATCTTTTTCATTTTTTAGTAACGATTACGCTTATTCCATGCTTTATTAGAGAATCTGCGTTGCTTTACAACCAAACAAATACACCGGAACTCCTCACTCCTTATTTATTAATATGAAGTGGGAAAGGGACTGCATAGAAATAGACATGGTAGAAAAGATACTCGAGATAATGCTCTCATCTTTGGTTGAGGTTTGTTATTTATTTTTATATACTGACACATATGTAACACTAATAGATTAAAATGTAGTTCAGATCACA